TTATTCCTTATAAGTAATAAAATAATTCTTAGAATAATATTTATTCTATTTCTATTATAATTATTATTATATAATAATATTATTGCTATTATTATTATATAAGATTATTATGATAAGAATAAAAATTATTATAATTATTTATATATTTTTCATATATAGATATTCTGGGCTGGTCTAGCTTATAAAATTAATAATATATTTCTTCCCGGATATTCATATAATCTGAAAAAATATTTATATTTTCATAGAATAAAAAATAAAATTAATGATATCATTCTTATTATATTATTTAAGGTCATAATAAAAATCATAATTCAAATTTGAATTCTTAAAAGTTAAATAATAGTTAAATAATAGAATCAATATATCTTAGGCTAGATATAAATAAATTGATTTATTTTCAATCTCTCTTCTTAATGTCTTCTTCCCATCCCTCCCCCCCCCCCTTCTAATCAAATATAATAAAATTTCAGGAGGATCCTATTATTTCGAGCAGCCAGATAAGGAGATTATATTGAATTTTGAAATTCGTGATAATTATTTAATATCGAAAGAATTAAGAATAAAAATATTGAAATAATCAATATCTTCTTGAAATTGCCGAAATTTAGATATCAATTAATATGATGATTTGAGCATAGAAATTAATAAAAATTGATTCGATATTTTTCGAAAATATATCATCGATATAAAAATAATAAATATAGAATCTTGCCGATAAATAAAATGATAATATTAATCTAAATAATCTTGATTTCCTATCCAATATTAATATTACCTTAATATAATAAAATAATATTTAATATATTCGCCGCTTCATAAAATATATTTATATAAATATTCCAATATAATTTGATTTCGAAATAATTCTTATCATTAAATAATGCAAATTATCCTAATCTTATCATGAATTCTTAATTATTTTCATTATTTTCGATACTTATTTTCTAATCATAATTTGATTCTTATAAATCCAAAATAAAAAAAATATAAGGCTATAAAGAAAAAATAAATATAAGAAAAGCTAGAAAGAAGTAGAAGAATAAGAAATATAGAAAAAATAAAGCATATCAGAAAAAAGAGAAATAGAGAAAAATAAAACCGGAAATAAAAAACATAGATAAATTCAGAAATAAAGAAAGATATAGAAAGATAGATAGATAGAAGAATAAAGAGAAAAATCATTAAAGAATAATAGAAATAGATAATAATAATCAAAAAATCTAGATATATATTATAGATATATAGAAATTAGTTTAAAAAAAATTATATATCCATCTTATAAATGCGTTCAGAAATAAATCTATATCCATAAATATAGATATATGAATATATGAAGAAATATATATAGAGAGACACCTTTATTCAGAAAGTATAATATTAAAATAAATTTTATGACCGCTTCCGCGAAATTTTATATCCGCGAGCATATCTTTCAAAATTTGGGAATTTTTATTATATAGATCATATCTTCTAAAAACTATAAAATTTTGAAATTTTTCTATCGTAATATTTTCTAAAATCATCAAATTTCGAAAATTTTAGTACCGATCAAAACGAAAATCAGAGACGGAAAAAAAATAGACGAGATCAGCACGCTGCCATCTAATTAATATCTGCAAATATAGATATATTCCCCAAATCTTAAGATATAAATATAAGTAGTATTACCATTCTAATTATTAGTATAATATTTTTTTCTAGACCCCTACCGCTACTATTACTACTATTGCTACTACCACCACTACCGCCACCACTGCCATTACTACTACTACGATTACTACCACTACTGCCACTACTACTACTACTACAACTACTACTTCTACTACTTCTATTACTTCTCCTTCTTCTACTACTACTAACTACTACTATGACTACTGCTACTACTACTACTACTACTATTACTACTACTACTACTACTACTACTATTACTCCAACTCTTACCACTACTACTACTGCTACTACTACTGTACTCTTCTACTACTACTACTACTACTACTACTACTGCCACTACCACTACTACGACTGCTACTGCTACTGCTACTGCTATCGCTACTGCTACTGCTACTGCTACTGCTCCGGCCGCGGCTGCAGCTGCTGCTGCTGCTGCTGCTGCTCCTTGTGCTCCTGCTCCTGCTGCTGCTGCTGCTACCCCCCGTAATTACTATCACCACTCAATGTCCTGGTTCAGCAGCAGCGTTTGTCCAGAAATTTCCCTGAGGCATTCTTAGCGTCGCTGCGCGGGCGCAACGATGCGTTGGGTACGGAGCTTCTTTTCAGCATGCCCCTGGGTGTTCCCTTCTGTTGGGAAACTAGGTTCTCACGGTTTTATAGGGCAAGTACTACTGTAAGTTGTTAGCAGTCTTATTTATGGGTTCCGAAGGGCCTGATTTGGAAAGTAAACCTCAAACCCTAGACCTGTCACTTGGCTCTGGGCTCCGGGATTGTGAGTGCAATTGCCTGTCTACGGGTGCTGATGCGTGTGGTGGGATGTTATTGGCAGTTTAAATCACCTTAGTTCAGGGATAAAGCATGTCTCATGTGACTTGTTGAGATAACTTTATCGGCTGTCGCGTCACTGTGCCGTAAATCGGGTCTACTCTAGAGTCAGCAAGGGGGTGTCTTGGCCTGTCACGTACGACTTTGCACTCGGACCAGACTAGAACCTACTTCTTCGTATGTCGCAGTATACTTATTAAGCCCAATCTAGAGATCATGGGAACCCCAATTTCAAGAGGAGTTTGATCCCTATGGATCCGATAGCGCTTGTAGGCACCCTTATCGTAACCTTTAGAGGCACGCTACAGTCTTAGAGTAGCTTTTCTCAACCCTTAAACCGAAACCTTAAACCCCTAGCCGCTTCCCGACCCCTCTGCGAGTAGCGAAAGGGAGTTACCAAAAAAACAACTGTAAACCCTAGGCAAAGAAAGTCGAGCCCTTATAAATTCAGGTGGCAGATCGCTGAGCTTCGGCCTACAATGGAGCCCCAGACGTCGGAACGAGGTAGGGGGTCAGGGTTCGTTAAACGGTTCCATAAGTTGCAAGGGTCACTAAAAGGGATCTATGGAGTTTAGGATTCAGGGTTTGGGGTGTAGCTTTGGGGTTGCAACGGGTGGCCATGATGACGATACTTATCTTCATCATCATGACAAGGGGAAGGCTGAGAATGGCGGCAGGGGTCTGGTGACGGCGGTGAATGCAGTGGCCATGGTGATGCTTCTGATGACGTTGACGACTGCGGCATTCATCGCTCTTCGCACTGGACTTCCCTACAGCTGCTTAACGTTGCCGCTACAACCAACAAGTGCCTGCGTATCTTAAGTGGGTGATGCTGATGATGAATTCAATTCTGGTGATGATGGTGATGATGTCGATGACGATGCTCATCATGATGATGATGATGATTATGATGATGAGGGTGATGATGATGATGATGACGAGGATGGTGATCACACAGCTGTTCGTGATGTCGGCACGCATGATGCATCGCTCACGCCGGTCAAGTCTTCTTGTCCCTTGACAGCCTAGAAATCCCTTGTTCGCAGTGTTCAAAATCTATTAAAGGTTCCCGGATCCTTCATTAAGCTAAACTATAAAGCCTTGTAAACCTTCTGGGAAGCCACTATAAACCCTGTCGGAACCTCCTGCATGAAGTTGTTCAGACCGGTTCTCCGATTTCTGAGTTTCAGGGTATGTGTATGCATACAATTGAAGGATAACTACGGTGCACTGAAACATATGCATATTTAGCTGAGTGTATGTACCGGTAGGTAACAACGTGCATCATTTTTGTGCTTAATAAATAAATATATATATATATATATATGTATATATATGTGTATATATATATACACCTCTATGCAACATGCACATCTTCATCCCAGTGGACTTTCTGCAACCAGACACCCGTGGTATATTCATCCACTTAAGGTATCACCGAAAGAGTCTTCAGTTGATCTACAAAGAGCTCTGATGAAGGTCTCTTCTGGGATGACATGGTGGCCGTGCTCAAGCTCCTTGCCTTGCTAGGTCTGCATTGCGGCTTCTTCCGTCGAAGTGGGTCTTGGGAAACTTGTGGAACTTCAGCATCCAGGGCTTGTCCAGGTTTATGGCGATTGAAGGTCGTCAGCATTTATCATCGGGGTTGATGGCCTCGTTTGTGGGTCTCTGCAGCAAGCTTCCGAAGCTACGCTGTTCTCAAAGGTCATCTGGCCGGCGCTCACATTTGCAGTCCCTAAACCCTAAACCCTAAACCCTAAACCCTGTAAGGCCATGGGCCCCAGGAAGCCGAGAGGCCCGAGGCAAAATCCTACGTCAACCTCGGGAGCTGCAATCCATGTGGGTTTAGGGGTTTAGGGTTTAGGGTTTAGGGGTGAGATCACAATAAGAAGCCCTATGTTCCCAGCTTAGGACGTGCAGCCGAAAGGAGATGCATACCGCTCAAGAGGCTCAGTCGCGAGGGTCGGCGTAAAGCATCTGAATAGGGTTTAATGAGAATGGTTTAGGGGCTCATTTGAAGGGCTTTGTAAGGGCTTTGCACAATGGTTATTGGAAGAACATCTGAGGGTTTGGGCTTTGAGACTTTAGAGTTTCAGGGTTCGTGCATCGCAGCCCTATCTGAAGACACGCTTGGAGTTCAGGGAACACTGATGTTGCTTGCTCTGATGACTGTATCTCATATGCTGCAGCAACATGACTCGAGATCCGTTTGTCCGACTTGTCCGCACGCTGCTGAAGGGAGGGCTGACACAACAAACTCTTGCGAGGTTCAGATTCTGATGCCATACACACACACACACGCATGCAAAAGTAGCAGGCTGAATGCAGAGCACGCCACCCTGCCGCAAATACACATCTTACACTGCTGCTCAGCCATGGCTGGTGGAGATGTCGCCAAGGGTGCTGTGCTGGGGGCGACCTCAGCTACGGCGCTGGCAGTAATGCTAATGCGGCGATACCTGCGCAACTTCTGCTATCTTGGCAGTGCTGTTCTTCGCGTTTTTGAACTAGTTTGGGTGCGTTCTGGTGAACTTGATCTCATGCTCAAAGTGTACTTGTATATGTTGAGGAGAGGAACTTCGACCAGCGGTGCTTTTTCACTCTCCTGTCGATGAAAAGCACCCCGAGGTCTTCCTGTGTTTTGCTTTGAGGATTTGGTGCTTTGGGCTCGGCATAGTGCGTGCCAGAGAGGCGTTCAGGGTTTGTATATCTGTCGACTTTGTGCTGTTTTTGTTGTGTCTTGGTCGCTTGAACGCAAGGTTATACAGCATACAGACTGCCGCTTCATTGCGCCTGAAGATGCCAAAGCTTGAACGTCAGAGACCTAAGAGGCACGATGCCTTTTGGAGCCTCCTGGCAGGACCAGCGACTTCTCCAGCAGGTGAAGCTTGTGTTGAGTGACTACTGGCCCCTAGTGTGCATTTATGGGATTGTGCTTGAGGACGTTGTGGTGCATTCGCGATTATATAAGGCAGGGGAGATGTTGAGTGCGAGTACAGGCGAGCAAAGGTGAAGGTAGCAGAAGTTCTAGGTTTTACTTTTTGTGCGGGAGCTTCGTTTTGGTGTCCAGAAGGGCCTTTCAACATCCGAGAGCCACCAGCAGCCCCCCAGCTAAGATCGGTCCGCACCTTTGCCATGCACATTCGGGCCCATGACCAGAAGACGTACCAAAGCAAAACCATGCCACAAGAAGGTCGGAGCACTTCAGCTCCTGAAACATGAACTCCCCAAAGCCCCGGTAAACAACTTTGAACAACCCTTGCACCTTGCCAAACCCCTGCAAACGGCATGAATTTTCCTCTGAGCTTGAACCCCTGGCCCTTGTTCGCCATAGGCTTTAGGCTCAGGGGCATCCGGATCATTCATGACTCATAAACCGCAGGTTTATTGTTCAGGGTTTGCACCACCTCCCCCGTACACGCATGTCCAACCGCAAGCTTCTCACAAGAACAAAAGTTCTGAGGCCGCACCCGATCTTGGAGTTCAGCGGTTACTTCTCGACCATGTACAGCTGCTTATGGGCAGCCTCTAAGCCTGGCAGAGAAGTCCCGGGGGCCCACGTTCCCAAATCGTTTTTACATTGCAACGGGCTTCATTTCTATAGCTTATTTCGAAGGTTGACGTAGTACTCAGGGAGCCCCACTCCATAGCATTTAATTCCGGAATGTTTCCACGAATCGATGAAGTTTGTGCAGAGAGTTTTTGGTATAATATGGGCTACAATGCTACGACATTTCTTTGCCACTGGTTGTTTTGCTGTGTGGGTAGTCCAGTAGGTAGCCTCAAACCATGTCAGGTATTATTCAGTTCTACTATATATATATATATATAGATAAGGCGGACCTTCCCACGACTCATCAACTACATCCAGCGTCAGTTGCAGGAGTAGAACCCTCAGAGAAAAGAATCTAGTAGCCTGAAAAGACCCTGATAGTAATTCTCCTACGCTTTGCGCAGACATTGACTTGAGACCGGTGCACCTTTCGAACAGCACTCTCAGTTTGAAAAGTTGTAATACAGCAAATCACGACTACTTCTGCTTCCCATGGTTTAGGAGCCACCAACCCACCCGAGAATGCCAACTCAGCATTACAAAGCATCGTTTCTCTTTGAGGGTGACTTGGGAACCCTAAGCCCTGAACCCTAAAACCTAAGAGGGGAAAACCCTAAACCCTGAACCCTAAACCCTAAGCCGGGGGCTTCGGAGAGCTGATCACTACGGCGAATCCTGCACCTGCCATCGTCCTTTGCTGTATCCTATGCGGCTTTTCTGCGATGAAGTTGGTAGGCCCGGGACTTGCACACGTCTTGTCTTGTCTTGGAGCGCAGTTTCCCTGCAGCGCGACCTAGTCAGCGAAACCGGCGGGGAAATTACCCTAAACCCTAACCTAAACCGTGGCTCTCTCGCAGCCTCCGAGGTGATGCCTTCTATGCACATGCGGGGGCGCATGGAGGTCCTGGAGTTGTCGGATGGAGGCATTCTGCAGGGCTTCGACCTTTTGGGGTTTAGGGTTTGGGGTTTAGGGGTTTAGGGTTTAGGGTTCAGGGTTCAGGGCTCAAGGTAGGTTGAGGACCCAGGGTTTAGGGGCTTTGGGCTTTGGGGTTCAGTTGGGGTTTCGTGGGTTCTTGTGAAGGCACTTAAGTTAAGTGACCGTAGTAACCACGGAACTAGAGCTAATATCATGTGTTCCCGACTCTAGTAGCGTAGGTTAGGTTCCTTTACAGAAACCGGTGTTCAGTTCAAGTGATGGTTGTCATTCAGGCAGGGTCAACTGCGGGGGCTACTTCTATTGTTCAGGGTATGGACCAAGATTGTCCCTGCTTTTCTCACATTCCGCTGCAGCCCGACGACGTTGCTGGCACTGCTGAGAGGAGTGCGCCGCGACCACCTTCAGGTGCTGATGACTGCGCTTACGGTTTCGTGATCATGCTGATCATGCTGTCGATGGTGATTGAATTTGCCGTTTTGCCGGCTTCTGGCTTTTATTTCATCCGGAAAACCTCAAAAACCCAACCTGGAAGCCCAGAGCCTAAAACCTCCACATATACCGATAGAAGAGGAGGACACCTCGACTCCCTTGGCATCAGGCACTATGTCGCTGCACTGGTACGAGCCTCCCCTCACCGATAACGGCCGAGCGACTCGGTCAAAGCGCAATCCACCCAGTGTGTGAGGGTATACAATCATTGAATAGAGTTAAGAATAGGGCTTCTAGGATTTAAGGTTTAGGACGTGCGGGGCAGTCAGTCGAGTTATTTGGCTGCACTCTCCGCAGTCGGTTTCGGTCAGTTCAGGTTGTCGTTCTCCTGCCGGGCCTCAACAACGACAGCCGAACCAGTTTCGTACAGAGCTCGATGCGGCTCCTTGTCGGGGATTCTGGCTTGATCTGATTCGGACTGAACAACTTTCGCCTGATTCAGAGTCGAGGGTGTCATTCGTGAGACTTGATAACCAGATTATGACCCCCGGGTGCAGATTATTAATTAACTGCATAGATTACTTGAGAGGTTTGCAGCCTCATTTCTCGCTATTTTTTAATGTAGGAAACTGTTAGCCACACGCGCGCCCCGGAAGCATCTTCCCTGACTTGCGTTTTGTGCAAGTGCTGATCCGCCTTCACTGCTGATTCCGTTGGCAGGCATTCCAAGAAAGGTTCCAAGCGATGTCGCTGTGTATACATATGTGTATATTCATATATATATATAT